TGAAATGGATCATAGGAATATGACTGCAGTGTGCCAGAAGAAAGTAGAGGGTTTCCTCTCAATAACCCCTACCTGAATCTACCCCCACCTCACCTAGTATGTAAGAACTCAGCATCAAAGATTTCAATATTGAGACTTGAAGTCTCAAAATTTTGATACATAAGAGTGATAGCACAGGCCTTTCTGTTGGTGAACAAAGGACATATCAGGAGGAAGCTAGATTTGTGCTTAGGCAGATGGTACATACACATTGTATTTGGCAGCTTTCCTTTTGAAGCAGTCTAGGATAACATTGTGCCAAACTTTGGGGAGTTTCTCTAAGATGCCTTGAAAAGGAAATGTTTCTCTTGTTTCCTCAGTGTCCAGAGGCTTGCACATTGGATACCTCCATACTTGCAGGTTAGACTGCAAATGCAACCACACAGCAGACAACTGATCAGATTCTACCATTCAGATATCTTTTGAAGCCAGTAAATAGTATTTCTGCTTTAGTGGTTGAGGAGACAGTCAAGTAAAAAGAATGCAACTAAATTGCAACCACTAATGCCAATTGGTGCTTAAGTATTTACCCTTGAGTACAGATGTGACTGAAAGTAACAATGGAAACCAAAAATACAGGCACCTGGGTACAAAACTAGGGATGTGAATGACCAGTCAACTATCCGATACACAAATGCTTATCGGATAGTCAACAGGCTTGTCAACTAGTTGCTTCTCCCCCTTTGTTGCCTATATCAGAAAGAGACAGCAAAGGGGAGAAAAGGAGAGAGTTCTTCAAAGCAGCAGAGCCCCGTGGAGCATGGGGCCAGACCCCGGGGATCCACGTGGTGCTGCTGCTTTGAAATGCTGCATGCAGCCCAGGACCAGATAGGAGACCCCAGCTGGCCCGGGATGCATGTGGCATTTCAAAGCAGCAGTGGCGCATGGAGTCCAGGGTCAGCTGGGGACTCCATGCATTGCTGCCATTTTGAAATGTGGCGGGGAACACAGGGCCAGTGGAGGACTGCTTGAGTCCCCTGCTGGACCCGTGCTCCCTGCAGGGCTTTCATCTTTGAAGTGTAGCAACAGCCCTGGGGCTCTTACTACACTTCAAAGGTGAAAGAGCCCTTATCGACTAGTCTTTAGCTAGTTCCTTATTCACCTTTCAATTCTCAAATTAATCCCCATCTTCTCCAATTTAACTAATAATTTCCTATGTGGAACTGTATAAAATACTTTACTGAAATCCAGGTAGATTACACCCTCCTCTGGGCAGCCCTGGGACCGGATAGGTAAGTGCTTAAAAACAGGTGCTGAAGCACAAAGAATTGAAGTGCTGAAAATTGACCACAGAAGCACTGAAATATGTATGCCAATCAATACATTACTAACCTGGACTGGAAGATAGAAATTTTGGAAAGGATACCCAGAAGGGAAGCAAAGTATCGGTAATGAACAGAGAAGAACTATGACTGAAGATGTAGTCAAAAAAGAAGTCAAGGAAAAGTTCCATGGGCAGAAGTTAAGGTCAGACACTGATAAGATGAATAAGTAAAGAACAGGTAAATTCTGCCTTTAGGGATAAGAAAAAAATCATCACCAGTCTATTGAATTTTGCTTTGCTCAGAAGCGAAAATACTGATCCTCTGAAGTGTTATAGCACGACTTGATCTTCCTCAACTAGAGCATCCTAAATATTCTGCCACTCCCTTAGGCCTCATTTGCCACTGCTTGCAAGCTTTAGGGAAGGTCTCTGCTACTGGTAACAAGTGTTAACTAGAAACAAAGTGAAACTGACAGGATCATTGACAGTTTCACCGCTGCTCTGAACAATTGCAACAAAACTTTGCTATTATGGCCTGGAGAATTAGAAATATCTGTCAGCAGACACACTGGAGAGATATGGTAACCTTAAGCTCTAGAAAACTATTTCTTTAACATACACAAAACCACAAAGTCTTCAAAAATGGATGGTTTTCGCACTTCCCATCCTACCCACCAAGTAGCAAGGAAGTTTCCTACTTGCCAAAGTAGATTTTCTCACTCCTTTTACCCCAACTCCTTCCACTTATAAAGAAATGGATGCACAAAAGGCCACTATCACCTTCTGCACTAAAATAATATTTCAAGGAAACAGACACAATCTGAGTGGGGAGGAAGAAGGGCCCATTACCATAGTGTCTAAGCTGGTAGCATAACTACAACAGGAAAACTGGGTGGGCCATGATTTTGAGTGGCAGGAAATGATATAGAGGAACAGAGGAGTCTCCAGCTGGCCCTTACTACTCAGCAAGCAACAAGGCTGCCAGGGGCACACAAGCTGTGGGACGAACCTATGAGCCAGAGAGGGGCCCTTCCAGGGCTCAAGTGTCACTTACTCCACAGTATCCCTCTCCTACCAACGCTGTACACTGCTACCCTGGTCTCCAGTCCCAGTGCAATCCCCATTCAGACCTACCCCCACAACAAACCCCCAATCTGGGTTGACTCACCCCCTCAGAGGATGCATCCCTCTCCCACCTGCAACATGCTGTGCTGCCCTAGTCCCAACACCAGAGATGTGTGCTTCCGGGATCTGGGTGGGGTTAGCATCGGGGCCAGAGACCAGGTCAGCTGTGCACCGCACCAGCAGGAGAAGGATGCACCAGGCAGACAAACCCCAAATGGAGACTGTCACGGCTCCTTCCCCATTCTGGCACGATAAATGCAGAAGTGGGGGCCAGCAAGTGTACCCAAAACCTTATCTACTAGGCTTTGGTATAAAATTTCCCCCAAAAATCTTAAAACTCTAGATTTTGGGGATAGAATCTCCGCTGCCACCACCCAAATTAATGAAGAAACCAGGGGAGACCCCATTTCGGAAAATCTCACCTCTAAAGTAAAAAGCAGGACACCACCATTAACCAATATCAGGTTAATAAAAGGAAAAGAGAAAACTTTTGTTATCACCACACTATTCCTGTTGCAAGCATAATGATTAGATGGAAGAGTAACAAAATAATATACTAGTGGAGAAACTCCATGGGCCTAGAACTTAGTTACAAAGGAAAGCCAAAACATTTTTTAAAAAGTGCACAGACAGAAGATCCCATACCCAAACCATAAAAAAACAAAACCTAACAGATTTATCTAAACTTTACCCTACTTACAGAAAGTGAAGAAAGACTCTTTTCTTGGAGGGAGAAACAGTGTCTGTCCCCCTCAATAGCTGAAGGAAACTGCCCAGAACAAAGGGGGGAAAAAGCCAAAAATTACTTTGTCCCAGTTTGAAATTCCAATCTACATTCCTATTGGCCACTCCTCCTTGCTAGGTAAGGGACATAGTTAACCCCTTAATCCCCAGGCTGCTGGCTAACCCTCATGATCATGACACGCCCCCCAAAGGAGCCAGGACAGAGACTCTGCACAAATCTGGGTGGGTCTGGATGCTAAGAGGGTGAGCTGAGGCCTAACCAGGCCCATCTATGGCTACACTCTGATCTGAGCATCTCACAGCTTTTAATGTGTGTATCCTCACAACACCTCTGTGAGGTATGTTCAATTATCCCCACTTTTCAGAGAGGGAACTCAGGCACAAAATGACTTGTCCCAGTAGAAATGTAAAAGTGTAACCATTTAAACAGTTAACCAATAAGCATCAATTTACTGGTTTCCGTTAACGGTTACGCACTGGCTCTCCGGCTTTGTTGTGGGCTCTGCAGTATAAAGGTTATATTGCAGTGCCTAGCAGCAAAGTCTCCCCAGGAAGGGGCTCCCCTGCAGCTGTGCAGTATCCCACTCCCAGGTAGCCAGCTGTCACACCACAACCTGCAGCCGGTTCCGCTCCCGGGGACGCTTTCCTGGGCTTCTACCGTGTAACTTTTAAAACTTGCCGCTGCAGGCACTGCAGTGTGTGTAACTGCTAGGATTTTTAGCAGTTATATGGTTATATTTTTCCACAACATTTTACATCCTTAACTATGACAAAGGAGGAAATTAAACCAGATTCCCAGACTAAACAACTCTAACCACTCAAGCACATAGAGGAATATTAATTTTAAGGCATAAGGAATGAAAGATTTTGCAATATCAGTGAAATACTTTGAACCTCATCTGGTAACCTCCCTTTCTTCGTGTGGTTTGTGACAGCTCACCAGGGATGTGGGCACAAAAGCTAGTGGGACATGCATGCCCTGGCACCGGGCCACTGGCAGTACTAGTAAATGGGGGCTGCAGTCCCTGGTCACACAAATGGACAGGAACAAGAGACGAGCTTTTAGGATACCGTCGCCTGCAAGAGCAGCCAAGGGCTTGCCCAGCAGCTGTCTCAGCAGCCCCTACCCCAAATATGGGAGTGGCTCATACCTCTTACAGGCTCACCCAGGGCTGTTGAACTCTCCCAGATATGCCGGGCAAACTGAACGCATCACAGCCAGCGCCGGAGGTGGACAGGTTGTCCCAGTCAGGTCGCCAACTGCCCTCAACCCGACCCGAACGTCTCCCTAAGACGCACCCCTCCCCCACTTCTGGAGCCGTTGAGACCGTTGGTGTTTAGAATGCTGCGAACATTCTATTACCTGCCGCCGAGAGTGACTCGCTCCAGTTACCCTCCCTCTCCTCCCCTGGGCCCGCCGTAGGTGTCTGCGTGCGGACGTCACTAATCAACACAATCGTCCCAGTGACGCTATTGCGGCAGCAACCTGTCCCATCCTCCCATGAAACACCCGGATGTGGCGTTTACGCTACTCCCCCTTCTTCCGAT